TTTTTTTTTTTTTTGTGCCTTCATCAACTTTATGTCATATCTGTATGTGTCTAAAGCCTAATGCATTGCAAATCTACCTATTGAAGTTAAAAACATTTCCATCCATAAAAATATTGGTTTGGCATCAACAAATTTAAGTGTTTCTAGAAGAGAGAAACAAAATAAGTTAAATGGAAGTTTTCTATTTATTTACTTATAATTAATTAATTTCTTATTATTTATTATTAATAATATATGGTATATATATTTATTATAGTGTGTATTTTGGAATCGTAAACCTTGAAGAGAAGGATTACATAATATATATATATCTTATATATTTACTTACCATAGATATCACATGCTTTAATGAGTTTGATTATATACCATAATTAATTTTCTCTCTCATGTAGGACAAGAAATATGTGGCAATAACTATGAAATGATGAGTTATTCATACATAAGGAATTCTAGACGTTCTAGAGAAGATTTATGAAAGATTTAGAAAGATCATCGTAAGACATTTGATATTTGGAAGATCGGATATTTTAAGAAAGTCGTGTTCTTACATCAAACTGAGAATACAAGATTTCCATTGGAAGCTCAATTCTGAAGATATCTAAATCACATACACAAATTTTACTTCAAGGAAACTTACTTTAAATGAAGTATTTCGTCGAAATCAGAAAGGAATCTATTGAGAAAGAATTTGACTCCTAAAAAAAAGGAGAAACTTGTGAAGACTCCTTACCTTATGGAGGTTGTATATAAGCCTACTAAAACAATCAATTGATGAGAGATGTTGTAATAATCGTTCATCATTTATCAGATTCAATTAAGTGCTTGAGAGTTTTTTATTCCTTTTATTTTATTTGTCTCAGCACTTCAGCGTTCTTACATTGTTGACTAACTGAGTTTGTTTAGTTCCTTTCTCTTTTTACAAACACTTTTTGAATACTTAGGATTAAGTACTGGGTTTGCTCGAGGAATTTGAGTGTATAGAGTTCACGGGACGTGGCCAGGGAAGTAGTTGATAGGATCGGATATAGTGTTGGCTAGACTAGGAGGGAGTCCGAGTCGAGTAAGTTCAAGTTGTACTTTGTGTGTGCCAACCGATTTATCAATGAAAGAGCTCTGAGGGGTAGTGGAACGCTTCTCGAAGACAAATAATATTTTATATCGCTTTCGCTTTTAATTTATTTTTCTGTGTTGCAACACAATTTCGTAATACAGAATTTTTGTGTTCTAACACAGTTTGCGTACTCTATACTCCTCCACCCTCGTTTCACAATCGAATTATAATTTATAAGTAACTATTAGCATTTCATACATGGTGTTAATTATAAAATTGGTATTAAAAAAATTAAAATAAAGTTTTGTTTGAAGATTTTAAGTAACTTTTAAAAATTATGTTATTAGTTTCATATAAAATAATAGAGGTAAACAGTAAAATTCGGTCATATTACATTATAATTTATATATTTTTTAATTAGGATATTTATTTCTTATATATAACGGTGAATATAATTAACTTTTTATAAATGCAATACGAATGTCACCTCAAAGTTAGTCAAAATGTGATTAGTTTGAAATATCATATACAGTAATTGGTAAACAAACACAGAAGCAAACCAAGTATATTATATTTTTAAAGATCCATCATATCTAGAAGCCCACCCCTACATTGGTAACAAACCTAGAAGCAAACCAAGTATTCTATATTTTAAAGATCCATCATATCTAAAAGCCCACACCTACATTGACCGAAGTATCATAATTTGCCACATAAAATTATGAATTACCATAAAGTAACACATACGATTGTATAATTTGTTGTAGCACTCAGAGTAGCTCGACAGACCGTTTTGAGTAAGCAACTCGAGTAGGCCGATCCAAGAGAGTATATTGTCTGTCCATAAGTAAGAACCCAGTCAAGGAGCTCGAACTCGAGCTCAAGGTACTTACCGGCCTGGATAAGACGACTTGGAGGTACCGACCTCCAGGAGCTCGACAACACAGTCGACCTCGAGGTATCGAGGTCGTAAAATCTGGGGTGGGTTAAGACCTCAGGATTAGGTCAGGTTCGACCTCAGACAAGCAACAAGTAGGTCAAGAGGTCAAAGTTACGACCTAAGGACCTAAGGCTATATAGTAAGGGGGAAACAATCCTAATAAGAAGGAATATATCACTTGCTCAAAGAGACTTGCTAGATAAAGAGGTGATAAGTTAAGAAATATAATCTGGTTGGACCTCTTTTCTAACAAGGACTCTATCAAGATAATTGTGGTTATCAGGTTCTTCATCTATATATTGCAGTGTATGCCTTAAAAAGTTACATATTCTCATGTATATTTTTTGAGCAAATTTTGACTTCAGCGTCGGAAGTTTTCTGCCATGACCCCTCTCGGTATATTGCATGTCACCGAAGCTTAAAGGCGAAGGAGGAGGTTCTTGGCATAGGCGGTTCAACCCAGTTGGTGACAAAAAGTGGCGCAACATAACTAGTACCATAAATATTGTATATACACTGTTAAAATGCACAAATACATTTATTAACAGAAGTTTCCATACATACAAGGGAGTTAGAGAAATTATCCCAATGATACTGTTAAAAAAAGACATCTATAGTTTAACAAGATTAGTGAGTATATAAAAACACCAAATCAGGAAAAGTAAATCAATGAGTTCAGAGGACATACTCACTGGGAGAAGAAAGTCTGTCTATAATGATTCTCTACCAGTAGTATTGAAGCTCCATGGACTGGAGCAAGTTTCAACATAAGATTCCCCACAAAGTATATGATAAACAAAAGTATAGCTCACAACAAGACAACATACATATGTGAACCCAGGAAACTTGAATTATGACGAGGCGCACGAGTGCATGCGAATATTTGGTAGCATTCAACGCAATATGCTGCATCAATTGAAGGGATCTCAGTTAGTACAACGATACAAAAATTTGATACGTGAACGTATATTGCATTGTCCCATCGTGGGCTCTTTCATTGAGTATAGGACTGCTTTCATTTCTCTTCATTCTATCCGAGTATATAATAGTATTTTAATTGAAAACTAATGCAAGCAATATTATGTAGATTGCAGCACCGTGATTAACAACTAAGCTAAAAAGGACTTGCAAGAAATGCATTATATCATATTTGGCACGCATGGAATAATAGAAGAAAGACAGTGGACTCACTTGTATAAATAGAGTGCGATGCCCAGAAGAATACACAGCAAAATGATATCAATGCAGAAATTCTGCGTGGACCTCACCTGCAGAGCATATATTTCGAATATTAATTAATAAGGAAGGAAAGATCTCTCGACATTATAAAGTAAGAGACATTTTGTACAATTACCCTAGTAAGTGTTTCCTTGAGCCTGACATTATTGCGTTTCAGATCACTTGTTGCTGTATCAACCTACGACAAAACCAACGAGAATGTTGGGTGGTTGAATATACTTTTTTACTATTCTCAATACAAAAAATATAACTATTAGTGTCCCCAAAGGGAAAAAATGTTCAAACCTTTGTATCTATTTCATCAATCAGTGGGACCTGCCTATCCAATTCCTTAAAAAAAAAAAAGAAAAAAGAAAAATTAGATTTGTCTGCCTAATGATGGATTCAAAATGGAATGATTAATGAAATGCACCGAGCAAACCTCATTCATATCCTTTGCCAAATTCTTTAACATATCCAGGCCATCTGATATGACTTCTAGACCTTGATCCTGCACGAGATGTTATTTGATTACACAAGAAGATTGAATAATAAATCAAACATTACGAATATGAGCGTGTGTGTATGTATGTGTGTGTGAGAGAGAGAGAGAGAGATAGAGAGAGAGAGAGAGAGAGAGAGAGAGTGGAGAAGTTACAAGCCTGCTTTAGTTTCCGCATCTCATACTCTTGCCTAAATTGACTTGATTCTTCAGTTTGTTCAAAGAAATCGTTATCGAAGTGTCCATCTGATAAATCATATTCACATAGGTTATAATACTGATATCATAGTTGCATTGGTTTAATACATTTCATATAAGAAAATGATAAGGATCAATATTTATTTTCAATCCAAAAACCAACTTAAGATAAACTAACCACTAGAGTCGAATTTGATGTTCTTATTCGAAGCGCTCCAGGCTGATTGTTTGAATGCACTTCTACTCCCATCAGGTATTGCTTGAATTCTCTCAGGGAGTGCAAGAACAAGATCCGTACGAGCTTCTAATTCTTCTCTAGAGAGATTTTTCACCTGTGGTAGTTCCTCATTACAATCATAATATTGGTCTTTAAACAATATCTTCATGTGTAGAGTAATGTCCTAATACAATAACAATACAATTCTAATTCGAAACCCATTTCTAGTTTTCTAGATTCTGAACCCATTATATATATTGCGTAATGACTTAATTTCTCTAAAGAATGTGTTAAAATGTCCGGTGCCATATTTAATTATAACTATATCAAGCAAAAAAAAAGGATATTATAAGAAAGAAATATAATAGAAAGATATGAAGAAAGCACGTCAACTTTTATCCCACAACACTAAAGCAACCCAAAAAACTAATCTCAAGCAACACAGTAGTACAATTTTGAAACCTCATGATATGCATTGTGATCAATGCAACCTCTTTTTGTTTTTCATTTTTTTAGAACATATGTGGATCATCCTTGTGCCTTTGTGGGTGTTCGGTGTGCATGTGCCTGTTTGCATCTATACGAATCTATAACCCATAAATCATAATGAGAAAATATGTTAGATTAACAATAATAATAATAAAAGAAATGCCTTTTTTTGAGCAAGTTTCTGTAGCTTAGGCACTTCATCCAGGAGTCTGGCCTTGGTCCGGCGCACCTCTGCATTCAATGCCACCAAAGTTGCCCTGTTTGTTTCCATCTGTGCCAATTCCGATTTCTGGAAGCAAAAGGAATAGACGAATCACAACAATTCTTGTAAGATTGTGATCACATGTAGCCATTTTTTTTTTTTAGAAACCAGAAATTTTACTAAGATACAGACCCGGATAATGGCTTCAATCTGAGATTCAAAAGAGGAATAGAGCCGCGCGAAAGCATCGTCGGACGAGGCATTAATGGACCGTTGCTTTTCGACATCGTATTTGTCGTACTTCTTGCAAATATCATCGATCCTGAACAAAATGTCGATCACACTCATTTTTCTTTTAGACAAAAAGGGAAAAGTGAATTTTCAATTCCTTGCTGCACTAGGGAAAAGTTGATTTCTCCAAGTGGAAGAAGGTCAGATTTTGCTAGATATTATCAGAGGTCCTATAATGTCTCAAAGGCAAATACAGTAAATATAGAATTGTTTCTAGCAAACACACATCCCCCTAGTTTTGTGGGCATACCTTCCTTTTTTCTTTTGATATCTTGTTTATATAAAATAAAATATAATTTCAGAGCATACAAGGGCAAACCAAAAAAAGAAAGAATAAACAATTGAAGAGAGAACGCGAATAAAGATTCTAGGAGCCTGGACGACCATTCGATTTTCACATGTGATAAGAGGTTACCTTCTGTTTCTGGTATAATCTATTTTTAGAAAACAAAATATTCTACTTCTTCCATTGGTAACTGCAAAAGATAATGGAATGAGAAATGGAGGGTTATATTCTTGACATTGTATGTTAATGTGTTTGATTTGGTCTTCTGGAGGAGAATTGGGTTGGCTTGAAAATATAGACAATTGGTTCCTTTTCACCTTCCATTACCTTCATCCAAAACTAAATACCCTTTTTTCTCTTACTGATCACATTCAAGAGTAGAATGCCATATGCATACACATCCGATTTCATGGACCACTTACGTTCTGCACAACATATAAAAAAATGCGGCTTCAACCAAAATACAACTAAAAATACCAAAGGATCAAAACATTTACAACCCAAAAATATGTCGGTGTTCCAGAACGGAACACGCGATGGGACGAAATATTCAGGCCGACAATCACAAGTCTGTCTAGCAGGACCAAGCTATTCTAAATCTCATTGCAATGCAGAACCAAATTACAAAACAATGGCATATGCAATCCACCACCCCACATAAAGAAGCATAAACGAAATCACAGGATACATACCGAGCCACCCGAAGATTCGATTACTGCTATGAACACTTGAAAGACGGCAAACCCACGATGAACCATTTTGGCACTTTAGTGATTGAATCCTCGCTGCATCAGATATATATATATAGAATCTCAGATATATATAGAATCTCATATACTTTCTCAAAACGAGATATGAATTAAATGTTAGGGTTTCATTCTGAAATAGTGAAAAAAACACGCACTACGAAAAGTGTAATCAGCTGTTTGAGAAACAAGAACCGCTCATGAATGCGACAACATACCTGTATAATCAATAAAGCTCGCGATTGATTATACAGAAGCAAAATGTTCTGATTCTTGTTGATGAAAACCAGAAAAAAAAAAATAGAAGGCAGAAATCTCCGAGCTCCTCCATAAGCTCGCGATTTTGTTGTCATGTTCTTCCTCGGTAGCTGCTAAAATCCTCTGGAATTTGAAATAGGTTGTCGAAATTTCTTGTTCTTCTCTTCGCTTCCCCTTGTTCTAGCCAGGGTTGGCGGGAAAACTTCATCTCTTTGCTCCCAAAATTCATGGCTTCTCCACGTTTGGCTACGACTTATTATATTATTTGATTACTTAAATAACAATATAATTCTATTGATATGGTAGGTAGGTTTATTTGTTATATATAGAAGGTTGACTTCACATAAGAGTCAACTGTTAGCTTAATAACAAAATCGTTAATTAATCTATAACGACTAAACCAAACATGAATAGAATGTTTATGAATTATTTTATATTTATTTTTTGTGTTCAACAACTAAATCTTGAACTAGCTTCGAACAATATTCATTAAGTGACGGCTCAAGGTTTCAAGTTACTCGGTAAAAAATTAGTTTCGAAAACTATGCTCAACAAATATGTAATTTAATTAAGTGACGGATCAAGGTTTCAAGTTAGTCATTAAAAAATTAATTTCGAAAACTATGCTCAACAAATATGTAATTTAGAATTACGCGTATGTCTCCCTCCTAAACCTGCCAACACTACGGCCAAAACTACTAACTATTTTTGTGTCCCTAATTGAACTTAATATGTAGTAGCTATTATTAGCCTATTACCGAAATCCAACGACGACATTTTTTCCATATATCCACTAGCACAATTATGCATAATTCTAGTCTTTCAGAAATGAAAGAACGCAAATATAAACTCAAATTTTATGAACCCTCAGAGAATGTATGAAACAATATACTCAATATAAATTACAATCATATCCGCATCTTCTTTGAAATTCGTGAACTAATATATGTAGTCCAAGTATGTAAAGACACTTCCGATCTTCCATATCCTCACCATCCTTCGATCCATATATATATTTGGAGATCTTCAAAATCTTCGATCAATCAAGTGTGGATGAACACATTTTCATTGTATATCAATCTTAAAAATGTGATTGAGATCCTCGACGAATCCTTCTCGGTTGGCTTCAGAACCCCTCCACAAATCGTTCTTGGTCTTAATTATATGTGCAAGTTGTTTTTCCTTGTAAAATTAAAGTTTCATAGCTTCCTATCTAGAAGTAGAAGGAAAACTATTATGATAATTCATTTAAATCATGTGGCATACAGCGTAAGTAAATATAAATAAAGTATAGATCATATACTTTCTATAATAACTATAAACCATATATAGTAAATAATAAATAAATAAAAACTAATTAATTACAAGTAAGAGAATAGAAAAATTTTCTTGTACTTTGTTTTTCTTGCCTAATAACAATAACATAAAAATAAAAATTCTTAATTTTTCATATGATGTCAAGCTAATATGTTATCAATTGGCAAAGTTTTTCATGATGAGGTCAACTTTCAAAGAGGTTGGCACATATTCTTGAAATTGATAGCATAAATGCAAAGCTGCATGGACAATATAAATTTTAGTCGAGAACAAAAAACCTAACACCTTTGGATAATATATGTTAGCTGGCTAATTAATAGTCTCCAACAAGGTAGAAAAATGAGAATTTCAAATTTAGTTGGGATTGTACATTCGGACATTACTCTGTTGGGGTCTTTGTAGTTTCTTAGTGTTTTGTGTGTTAGGCTATGCTTGGTAAAACTAGATGACAAGCTAGCTGATAGCTGATAAGCTGGCTTATAGCTTATCAGTAACTTTTTAGCTTATAGCTTATAGCTTATAGCTTATGACTTATAGCTGATAAGCTAGCTTATATGTTAAAAGTGTTTGGTAAAATTAGCTGATAAGCTAGCTAGAATTAAAAATTCAACTAGCTTATTTGAAAAGCTACCTAATGAAGCTTATCAAATAAGCTCGAGTTTTTAAAATAAGCTCGTCCTACCAAACGAGGCTTATTTAAATACAGGGAGCTTATAAGCTAATCAAAAAAGCTATAAGCTAGCTTATTGGTCTACCAAACATAGCGTTAGTGTTTTTGTGTTCGTGAGTATTATGTTTATTGTGTTTTTGTGCTTCATTTTATGTGTTTTATGTGTGTAGTTGATTCGGTCTTAGGTATGCTTTCTTGTTTAACCGGTCCATTTTAGTTGTTTCCGTGTGATTTTATTCTCTTTGATTTTTGTATTTTTTTGGCGTATTTTTTGTCTCTTTTGGTGTGTGTAGGTCTATGTTGTTCGAAATTGGAGGAAGACGAGCCATTGTTCGAGCCGTTGTCCATGTTTTTGATGTCGAGCCATTTCCGAGACGAGTTAGTCAAACCATTTAATCGAGCCACACGAATTCCCGAGAGAGAGATTGCCATTGATTACCTCACGATTCGTTGCGAACCCCGAGTCACGCTCCGCAAACAAGCGCACAAGATGGTCATGCTAGCCCACACTCGCAAGCGAACACCACTTCGCGACCGGCGAAGGCGCAACCCACAACACCACAACACCACACTCGCAGGCGAACACCATTTCGCGACCGGCGAAGATGCGATCCACAGCACCACAACACTACACTCGCGAGCGAACATCCATTGGCGACCCGCGAAAGCCCATTCCAGCACTACAACACCTCAAACTCGCCAACGAACCATGTTTCGAGACCTGCGAACTTTAGAATCATTAAATGTGTGTGCACCTAGTGTGTGTTTTTAGAGATACACTATATATATGTTTTTTCCTTTGTATTTTGGACATCCAACTCTCATTTTTCACTTTTCCTCTTTGGGAAATTAGCTTATGTTTTATTTTTGCTCTCTAGATTAGGAGCTTATGCTATTTTTCGGGAGATTTTCCGGCGACTTCGGTTTCTTTCAAGTTTGGAGCTTTTGACTCTGTTTTTCATCGTCTACGCAATAGAAGGATGAGTATTTAGTTTTAATGCTCTTTACTTCGATTTTTGCTCCGTTTTTACTTATAATGTTCATTAGGGTAAATTTGGATTTGATTGATGATGGAGAAAATGCTTGTACTTGATTGCTTGCTTGAGTAGATAGTGTCGTTAATTGCTTGTTGATCTTGTTTAAGGATTAAGACCCGATTAGGGCTTAATCACTTAAGGTTAGACGACTAAGGTTAGCAATCTAATGCTCATAGCTCGTTTATTCCTTATGTCGATTGATTATCATCTCGATATGGTTATGAATTGTTTGTGATTTGATCTTACTTTTTGTTAATTGCTCATTTTCTAGTGCTCGTTTAGTGATAATCAACCTTCCAATCAATTGCTTAGAATGTTTAGGATTTTATTTTCCCTTTTTGTGATTTGGACAATCAACTAGGAGATAAAGCTCCCAATAGCCTTCCCTCGAGATCGACCCAGTCGGGTAACTCGGTTATCCTTTGCCCACCAAATCTTTACTAAACATATTACCCCGTTGGAGTCGGCTCTATGCGGTCTTTGACTGTCCTCCTATGCAGCTGTTGGCTGTTTGTATTCAACTGGTGGCTGTATTTTATTCATTTATATATAATATCTCTATCGTTACGTTAAAAAAAAAAAGCTATAAATAGAGATTATACAACACATAAAAGAAGAATTCATCTCATATGGTGGAAATAGTATGTTTCATACTTAGTGAGAAAGGATTAATAGTTAATCACATACAAATCATTCTTGGTTGACCGGCTCTTCTTTGTTCATGTCGGCCTTTGTTCTCTTCAAGAAAATATTTATATTTCGTCACATATAATTAATCGATAATATTTTTATTGAATTTTATATACCGGCGTATTTTGATCAAAAACCTTTTCGGGTGGAGTTTGCATTTATTATTTGATTTTTACGCGGTAATGTCTCCCTATTCCATTCAATTGTTAGATGGTCTAACTATTAGTCAGGTCGATCTGTCATATTATTTAAAATAAAATATATACTCTTATATACATCATTAAATGTCATACTTCTGTTTATATAGTTCTTTTAAAATATAATAATTTTTAACAAAAGTCCACATATTTTTTTGTCGAAATGACAGAGAATATTATACAACAAAACGCACAAAAGTGCAAAGATACCACCAATAGTTGAATAAGACAGCCAACAGTTGAATGGGAGGGCAAAGTCTGACGACAGCCTAGAATCCCGACCCTAGCAACGCTAGAAATCGAAAAGAAGACTCACGAAACAACTACACAACAAACCATGAAAACTACAAACCGCCTAGCTGAATCAAAACTCAAACTACGAATCCTACTAAAAGTCAATTCTCCCCAACACCAGAGAATACCAAGAAAGCTCCCAACAACGCCAGACCGTGCCCCCTAACACCACTAGTGGACTTAGTAGTAGACGTGTTCACTCCTGAACCTAAAATCCAGAGAACCGAGGAAAGGGAGCTTTCTTGACACTGCAGCCCTAGCCCCACCATCTCGAGGCACTAAGACGCCTGAGCCACACAAAAATCCAACCCCCGAACCACGGAGCACCGTCAGTCGCGGCAAAAGAGAACCAAGACAGGAGCGGCAAGAGGAGGAAACTCACCCTCAATCGAGACCAGCGAAACCAATATCCAACCAGTCGTCAACCAAAAGCTTGCCGACTTCATCACCATTCCGCCGGCGAAAAGGAACAGTGCAGACCGACAGCCCCTGCACACCACGGCGACCGAAAAGCAAATCAAGACTTCCATCCACGCCGTCGGAGGCCCCTGCACAAAAGTCTGCACATTAATAAATAATATTTGACAAAAAGTACCAAATGATGAAAAATTTATACAACTAACAAATTTCACATGTATATCAAATGTAGAGTTGAGTCGTTCAAAAGGCAAATCATTATTAAAATTGAATTTCGATAATTTATGGAAAATATCATATTACTGCTAATTAATTTTTCAATTAAAGACAAATTAAATACCAAATCATTTATCTATTGCCAGAAAAGAAAAGGAAAAATAATTAGAAAAAGGGTACTCTAATTCATAACGTAAACGATAGTCGAGAGAAATGCTACAGTCCCGTTACAGAACCATTCCGTGAGGATTTGTAACATTTATATTATCATGTAACCATCGTGAATAGTTGATCTAACAGTTACAAAGCGCGACAGAATGGTCCTGTAACAAAACCGTAGAATCTCCCCGGTAGTTAATGTCTGTTCAGCCTCTTAACTAGGCAAAGTACATTTTAACCCTTCTTGTCCAAAACATATTGTTTAGTCATTTTTCGTTTTACAATTACTTTCATTTTTTGCCTAGGCAATATTGTTGAAACCGAGACAACAATCTCGGTATATGACATTTATTCAGCCTAATATAACATAATCTTACCATATATATTAATATAAATATCATCCTTTTGCATACATTTATACACAAACAAACTAACTACAATTTATTGTACCAAAAAAAAAACTAACTACAATTTATTTCCTAATAACACGTGTGAAAATTGAGATTCATATTCCGACTCAATCATGACAAATTAATATAAATATCATCTTTTATTTATTTATTATTTTTTTTTTTTTTTTTTTTTGCAATTTTCGTATTGTATCTTGTCATATTATAATGTTCAGACAAGGCAAGTCCTACTGCTCCGCTGAAATGTTAAAACACATTCTACATACATGGGCATCCCAATTAAGAATCATGTTGCGCTGACATAAATGATAAGACATAAACTTTAACATAATAACACGTGTCAGTGATTTTGTCGCGATACGCATCACATCACTTTTAAAATCAACATGCATTAAAGTATTTTTGTTACACAATTAAACACTAAATATGTTTGCTTTGACACGATTGACATTAACGACCACGTGACATAATCGACCACGTCATTCTTTATGTGAATCTATTATCACTACAAGAAAATAGAATTTTAGTGACGGATGTTTTTGTCACTATGTTGTCACTATATCTACTGTCACTATTTCTACAATTGTCACTACAACATCAATAGGTAACACTTTTGGTATCACTTTACAAATAGGTAACACTTTTGGTAACACTTTACAAAAATAAGTGTTACCAAAAACTACCTAAAGTATTACCTATTGTAAAGTGATACATTAGATGTTGTCACTATATCTAAAACATTGTAGATATGGTGACAACAATTGTAAAAATAGTGACAACAATTGTAGAAATAGTGACAGTAGATATAGTGACAACATAGTGACAAAAACATCCGTCACTGGAACTCTATTTTCTTGTAGTGTATGTCTAAGTACTTTATTCCCCAATTATACACTAAATATATTTAGGGTAAGTGCATTCACAATACTTTGAGTCTATTAAAAAAGAATTACATGTCATGCAAAAAATAGATCCAGTGTAGAAAACAAGTTTTCTGATGCAAGTGAAAATGAACAGAGTCCAACTGGTGTAATACTAAAAAAAGGAAGAGACTCAATGCATTTCAATCTATTTTAGACATTCAGCCTTTTTGCAGTGATAATTTTATTCATGTTATCCAACACTGAATTCGTAATTTACACGGCACAAAACACATTAGACTAGAAGACATGCCGGCTCTAGGAGGAGGCAACCTAGGCATGAGCCTAGGGCCTCCGTTTTATTTTGGGCCTCTTTTTTTATGTATTTGTGTTGGGTTTTGTTTATCTACACAAATGAGGCCTCATTATTTTTTTCATATTATGTATATCTGTGTTAGATTTTGTCTATTTACACAATATTTATACAAATAAGGGGCTAATGACAAAATATATAATTTGGGTGGAAAATTGAGGCTCTAAATATTTCATTTATTTTCGTATGATGTTCGGTCATAACAAGTTGTTTGAGAATAAATATTCTTTGTAGTGATATGATTTTCATTTTCTTCTCTTTGTTGTCCTCGTGATTGGTTGAATATAATTTACTAAAGATCTTTGTAACTCGGAGGTAATTTATCAATTCCAAGTTAAAAAAAAAAAACAAGGAAAAAATAGTTTTTTTTAATTATTTATTTATTTAATAGTCTCGTTTAAATTTATGATTCTATTTGCAAATAACCCTAATTACCACGTTAGTTAAAATCGGGAAAATTCGAAAAGGAAAAACTTGTCTGTGGCCTCCGAATTTCTGGAGACGGTCCTGATCGAAGAATTGGGGATGTTACAACTCTAAAATAATCAAGTGCCAAGTCTACACCAAGGGAGATGACGTGGCAAAATCTGATTGGCTCCTGTGTGTTGACTCCCATTTTCCTCTATTGCTGAATAGGAGCACGTCCAAGCCTCATCCTTGGAAGCATAAAACACCACCCAAAACTCTAACTATGAGTTGTAAGCCTCTTATTCAAAGCCCAATTGCATAGACCCGCTTGGTGGGCGACAAGCACGAAAAGAGGCCTAATTGGGCCCCACTCCTTCTAGACCTTGCAATTTGATCTTTACATGTCATGGGCCGTGGGCCCCTCTAGGACTGCCCGAATTGGGCCTATTTTGGGCATTAGGTGAAGGATGAAAATCAAAAGGCGTTTGGGGTAAAGCAAAGAGAAGTAAGTTTATTTATTTATTTTATTTTTTATTTATTTATTTTTTATTTTTGTGAGTCTTTAACAACTGTAAAGATGAAAAGATTAATACTACATTTCATTTCACCCCTAATTCCCACCCAATATTTCCATCAATTTGACCTAACCATGGTATACTTTTACAATTGTGAAAAAAATAAAAGGTAAAAAAATAAATAAATAAATAAATTGGCTTATTTCAAATTCACCAAGTTGCTTATATATAGGGATGTTTTGCCAGCTGATTGATACTCGTGCCTCTCGACATCTCTTAGTTTAATTCTTTGAAGGAGAAAAGTGAGACTAACAGAACGAAGCGAAGCGAAGTTAAAAAAATTACCGTCTCGATTTTTTTTATCAAGAATTTAGAAATAATGAATCATTTGGCCTTTGTGTTTGGCCTTCTAGGTACAATTTGTGTAGTTCTATTTTTTTCATAATCTTTTTTTTTCTATTATTGCAATTTTTTTATTTATTTATTATTTTTGTAGTGAAAGAGACAAGGGATGTGTGTCTTTCTTGTGTGTGTTTGTGTGTGTCCAAGAAAATATTTCATACGTAAATATGCATGCAAAATTATTTAATATTTTCATTGAAATTTTTCATTATTATTATTTTTTTTCACCCTTTGCAGGCAACATTGTCTCATTCTTGGTGTTCCTATCTCCATTGTGAGCTCCCAATTTCATAATTCATAATTTCCTTTTTTTTTTTCCATTATCAAGAATAAAATTTGTGAATATTATTATTAATTTACAAAAATTATTTAGCTCAGATTTTTCTTTTTTTGACATGCAAGGCCAACATTTTACCAAATCTACAAGAAAAAATCGACCGAAGAATTCCAGTCGGTCCCTTACATTGTCGGACTATTTAGCGCCACTCTCTGGATGTATTACGCGTTTCTCAAGCCGGACACGACTCTTCTCATCACCATCAACTCATTCGGTTGTCTCGTCCAATCCGCATATATTTTCTTCTACCTCTTTTACGCGACCAAAAACGCAAGGGTACTATAAGAAAAAATAAAAAAAAAATTAAGTCCAACAAAATTGCCATTTATAAAATTACCATAGCATATAGTCATTCAAATAACATTATATTGGACTATTTTGATTAATTAGGTCGAAACTGTGAGGCTGCTTCTTTTGCTGAATGTGGCCGGCCTAGGCCTTATCGTGCTGCTAACTCACTTCTTAGCAAAGGACTCGAACCGTGCGGATATTGTGGGATGGATTTGCCTTGTTTTCGCTTTGTTGGTATTCGTGGCGCCATTATGTGTCGTGGTATGCATGTAATTGATTTCTCTCTTAGTTGAAAATTATTTCAAAAAACAAAAGTTAGTAGGTAGTTCATATTTTATTTTTCTTATAATTTTTCATGTGATCGATTTTCAGAGACAAGTGATACGGACGAAAAGTGTGGAATACATGCCGTTCCTCCTCTCGTTTTTCCTTACCCTAAGCGCCGTCATGTGGTTCTTTTACGGCTTGTTGCGTAAAGATTATAACATTGCTGTAAGTACATTAGTATATATCTAACTATATAAACATTGCTTTAGTACCATTTTTTTTTTTACATGCATTTCTGTTTTGATTTTTAAGGTTTGACACATATTTATGCAGATCCCCAATGTTTTGGGATTCATATTTGGAGTACTACAAATGATTCTTTACGCTATCTACAAAAACGGTGATAAAAACGAGCCCAAAAAGCAGCATCAGCTCTCGGAAATCGAAAGCCAAATGCATGGAATCGATGGCCTGAAAATTCCGGAACATAAAGGTCCGATTATCGATGTTGTGAAGCGTGCTCCGGTGGTCCCCATTCTCATTGACGACGAAATTGAAAAAGCACGCTCGATCTAATAATAATGAATTAAGGAAATTAACAGGAAATGTGTACTCTGTTTGTGTGCTTTAATTTAGTTTGAAATCTGGTTTGTTATATATATGTGTGATCATTAGCTAGTGTTCATGTGTTGTCTAATTTGATTTGTATTACAATTAACTAAGTTGAAGTGTTGTAGTATAATTAATGTTGATCAATGCTATGTTATTAATGTTCCTCAACGCTTTAGAGTTGCAATTTTGGTAGAGTAAATTTTATTTTTTATTCCGTCAAATAATCCTTTTTCCCTTTTTTTTTTTTTGTTTCAACTCATGAAACATGCAATATATTTTTCTTTTTACTTTGTCATACAATTCTCCAGTCAATAAATCACTATACAAATCGGTGTCCTATCACGGATTATTCTTCTCGAACGATAGAAACTATATTAAAAAAAAACACATAAATACATCTAGAAACAGTCATACAGTTGAGAGAATCAGCTATAAAAGATAGTCTAGTGAGAGACCAGACCCGAAAGTCGCCTAAAGTCTACACTAGAAACAGAGAACAACACAACCACAACAAAAACTACAACTCTCACAAGTGGAGAAAGACACACTCCCACACGTGGAGATAACACGCTCCCAACAGGAAAAACGCACTCCCAACATGAGAAAACGCAAAAGCAAAAAACCTACAACACACAAACAAGGCACAACTGAAGAAAAACTAAGAAGACTACAACCCTCCCCTCCACCCGAAGGCATTTTGGACCCGCACCACTCGAGTCATGACTCAAGCGACCCTCCCGGCACTGAAGTCAATCCGACATGACTGACGACTTACAGTGTGGCCACCACTGGTACAACACTTGTAGACCCGCGATTAACTCCACCCCCAACCCACCTTGTAGGCCGCGAATTCGCTCGAACCGCATCGGAGACACCACCAAAGAACCTCTTCAAGCCCAGCACCAGGACGAGAAGAGGAACGAAGGTCGAAGCTGAAAGCTTGTCTCAGCCCCAGCCGCCTCCGCACAGCAGCCGGAGCCTAACTCGACACCCTCGCCCGCGAGCCAAACGTCCCGACCATCCGCCACAGCCAACCGGTAGAAAGGTGAAACGCCGCAGCAGTGTCCTATCACAAATTCGTCGGTCAAATCATTTCAAACTTTACATGTACGAAATGATTATTTAATATAGTTTCAAAAAGTATATTTGGACATATAGATCCATGTTTTAAGTACCGTAACAATAATACCGATCTAGTTGCCGGTAGACCTATCAAAACCAACGCGACAGGCCGACCAATAGCATCGAAAGCCCGCCTGTGGGGTGGGCGGGCCAAGCATGCCTAATATTAAAAAAATATTAAACACAGTATATTTGTTTTCATATATAAATATACACTACAAATTTAAGTTTAAACTCATTTAGACACTTTTAATATGAATTAAGAATAACTAATATCTAATGAAAATGAATTTTCATAGAGTTTGAATAAACTTATTGTAACGGCTCTAACTATCTCTACCCGGTATTATCTGTCGGACCGATAGTTATATTGACCGAAACTGCAAATTTTAATGGTATTATCGATCGGACTATAATATCGTTTGATGTTAAAATATAGATAATAATTGTAACGCTAAAATTCTGAAAGTTATCAAAACCGCAAATTCACCTCATTTGACTGATTGTCAATTTTCTGCCCAATCTTTAGACAAAATTAATAAATGAACTTCTTTCTCTCTCTATAAAACCGTGCAAAATTTAATGGTATTATCGATCGGACTATACATACATTGATTATGGTTATTTCCAATTCCCATTTCATCTATACAAGTAAATGGCAATATATACGCATATTCCAATCACATCAAAATACATCCGATAAAATTGAAACGATACAAAGAACATTAGTATAGTCCATGCGCAAGGATGTCACGCATAAATCGAAAAATGGTCCAATCACATCAAAGTACGACCACTTCGTAGAATAATAATATATATATATATTTATAAAAAAAATAAAAAAAAAAAGACAGCAGGATATGCCTATTCCAATCACATTGGAATTTTATCAACTCCAATTGCAAAGAAGCTTTAAAGTTTCAAGCATGCTTTTCTACTTATGTAAGGTTTCCACTTTTTCTTTAATGTAGCATGAATTAGGACATCCTACCAAAAAAAAGGTATAGAGAGCTACTCCTGTCTACTGCTGCCTTCTAATTTATTTCATTCACAGCCTTAAATTGTTCCCCGGATAAGTGCGTACCTAGAAATCAAGATTAAATATTTTATTTTTTTTATTTATTTCAATGTCTACAAAATAAAATTATTATTTTTTAAATAAATCAACATATCTAAATCCAAATAATAATATTAGTATGTTATAAAAAACATATGATAAGAAACTAATGTAATTAGTATTTAAGAAAACACTCAAAAATTGTCGCTAAGCCCACCTAGCGCCGCCTGTCGGGTTCTATGAGGAACGTCGTCATGTGCATATCCAAATCTATTAAAAATAAATTTTAACGCAGCAGAATCTATAGTTAAAATCATGACATACGGTTT